CTTTAGTTCAAATTTTCCAGGCTTCACATTTTTTTTTCTAATCATGATTTTGTTAATCTTCTAACTAGAATTTGCCTTTAACTAGGGACTTTCAGCATTTCGTGTGATTCTTCTTTTTTTAAAGAAATTTTAATGGTGAACAGTGTGTTCTTCCAGGACCCATCAGCTCCAAGTCAAGTAGTTGTTTTCAATCTAGTTGTGGAGGGCGCAGCTCCTTGGCCCATGTGGGAATCGAACTGGCAACTTTGGTGTTATGAGCCTGTGCTCTAACCACCTGCCCCTTGTGTGATTCTTTTACATGGGGATCAATGTTGATTTCAAAATTGGTTAATTTAAATTAACACTGTTACACTAAGCTCTGGTGTGTGCTCGATGACTTGGATCTCTTCTAGTGATATCAGTGTTGGGCTGAGTAACTGGAAAATGTTCTTTTGATACTTGAAATCGTTTGGATGGGTGAGGGCAAACAAAGAACTCCTTTCTAATAGGCTTTAATAACTTACTCTGGGCTCTTCTCATGAGCTAAGTACCAGATACGAACCTTGCACCTTCAATAGCTTGAGCTCCTATGTCTAAATCATGATAAATCAGGAGAATTAAAATATCATGGACTTGGTACTTGCCATGTTCCACACCGTGCTTTTATATAGACTACTTCCTAAAAGTTGACCCCATTATTCATATATTTGTCAGAAGAAATTGACATGGACGAAGCCAACCGCAGGCAGCTTACATTCCTGAAAAAGTGTTTATTGCATTTTATTAAGTAAGGTTCTTGCAACTGTAGCTAAAAATCAACATAACAGCATCATTTGAGGGTAGCTACAATATGTCTGAGATGAGAAATAGCAATTCTTATAAAACTACAAAAAAACATTTTTAGATAATAAACATTGAATGGGACTAGGTGAGATAGTTTATTATTTTGAAAGTTTTTTTTTATTTTTAAGGTTTTTTTTTCCTTATAAACGATGGACATCTTTTAAACAGTACATAAGTAGAAATGTGACTGAAAGCCACTCTGGAGGGAAAACAGTCTCCCCTCCCTTGTCCATCCCTTTAGAGATCAACATTTAAGGCTTGGAGGGGAAGCTTCTAAGTGTATTTGAGTTGGCCACGTGGATTTGGGGATGGTAGGGCGGGGAAAGGAAAGGAACGAATTAAGTAAGGTAGCAGATAAATAGAGGGCTCATAGGGGAAAGCTTTTAGAACACGACTCATACAATTTTAACTTCTTTTGACTAACACATGTATAGGCTCTAACTTCAAAAGGGATAAAATGGATTTGTCCTCTGTCTCTCAACGGAGAGAGGATATTTGGTGTAGGCTGACATGTTTATGATTGTAGAAACATAGACTTGTGCTTTTACACAGCTTTGCACTTGCTTTTCTACTAATAAATCTTGATGAGCTTTCCACGTTGGTACACATAGAACGGCCACCATTCTTTTGGACAACTGCGTTCATTTGTGTGTTGTTGTATACACGTATCAAGTCATTTAACCTTCCACTGGTAACTCCTTGTAGCTTTATAAATAATTCTCAGATAAATACTTGCAAGTGTACCCATGGGATAAAATCCGCAGTAGACTTCCTAGAAGTCAAATTGCTACGTCCAAGGGTCTTTCCATTGAGAATTGAGAGTGCCATATTGTTCTCCAGAGGGAACCGATGGGCAGTGTACCCAAGGTGACTGCTTCTGGGTCGTAGCCCATCTGATAGGTAAAAGGATACCTTGAGGTTTTCATTTGCCCATGCCTTAAGGAAGGTTGAGTGTCTTACGCATCTGAGCCTCTGTTCTCATCCTCTGACTCATCTGTTGGGCCCTAGTTTTGGGCCTGGAGGAGCTCATTATTCATTACGGCAGAGAGCACTTTACCTAATTTTACAAAAGCTTTCCTTGGTCTTCTGACCTCTTGATTGCCATTTTTGCCATGTAGGTATTTTAAATTTTATGAAGGCAAATGTATCGATTTTTTTGTGACTTTTAGGTTTTATGTGGTTTTAGAAAGGACTACCTTCTCTATGTAAGTGGACATAAATTCCATGTTTTTTTCTAGTACTCTTAGGATTTCATCTTTTATATTTAAGTCTTTGATTCATCCATCTAGAGCTTCGTTTGGCAGAAGATAAAGAGCCACTTTTACTGATTTATTTTTTAAAATCCAGATATCTCCATTTTTTCCCTTTACTATCTCAAAATGTCTCCTTTATTATATACTTAACCCCCTTATGCATTAGATTTTATTCCTAGATTTTAAAAATCCTGTTTCATCAATTTGTCTGCTTTTTGTGCCACTGCCACACTGTTTCAATCTGTATGACTTTGTGCTATTTCTTACAGGGCTAATATACATCATTCCTATTTTTCATAATTTTTCTGGCTATTTCTGCCCCTCCTCCCATGTGACCCTTACAAATTCTCAGTCTAAAACAGATTCTAACTTGGAATCTACTACACGTTCAGAGATTTAAAAAACATGTGGGAATTCTCATCCTTATGTACCTCCTCCCCTCCCACCAGAGAAGGTGTGATAACTTTCATCCCGGATTCTCACTGCTCTTAGGTGGCACTCCTCTAAAGTTAAGAGCCACTGGTTTAGAGGTGGGAGTAATCCTGACTTTTAACTCTAGATCACTTCTTCTTTTAAAAAAAAGCAATTTCTTAAAAAGAAAGGCATGAGTCAAAAGTCATTCCTCCAGTTCTCCTCTGCAACATTAGTGAGGTTTTTCCTGGAGATTGTCTTAAAATTAATTGTTCCTTCTATTCCAAGTACTGATTGAATTGTCCGCCTCCCCCCGCACCATTTGCTGTGACATCTCCTACCTGTATCAGAAACATGAGCCTTGGAAGCACAGGAACAGGTGATACACAGGGTAAAAAAAACAAGTTGTATTTTTATAGGTAGATAAGCATGCCTGACCCAAGTGTATGTCACCGAATCATAGTTTAACAGTGGCTCAAAACAAAGCTACAGCCATACCTTTCTGTAATCATCTGGTCATTGTGTCGTGCCCTGTATAATAGACACGAGTATACTCTATTCTCATCATAAAAGGGGCCACAAAGAACAAAGTGTCCACAGAACGCAGTAAAAAAGAAAACTCTACGGTCCCAAATCTGACTTGAAGCCAAATTCCAGCCACCATGAACATTAAGTATTCCATCACGAATTCTGCCTGGTAGCCTGAGCTCAGGAGTGCGTTGGTAGGATGAACTCGGTAGCCTGGGGGCTTTCTAACATTGTCCAAACAGGCTTGAAGGGAAACTTTTCTCTTCCCCCTGGCAAGTATTTCTCTGTGGCAAGCAGAAGAACACTCACCCCACAACTGGCCTTCCTGGAACCCAGCTTGCCCATTGCCAGCCAAGCAGGCTCCGTCCCTGCATTAACCGATGTGCTGGTGGGAGCCTGTGACTGGCTTGAGAGGTGCATGATGGTCAGACCGGACAACGGGGCAGGTCTTGGCTGCATGCTGCCTTCTTCCCCTCGATTCCAACCAAGAGCTCATGTTGCCTTCAGTTGGCTTGTGTCCCCTCCCCGTAAGTGAATCTTCTGTGACCTTCCTGTTCACCCCAATCAAAGGACACTCCTTCCTTCTACCTTTATATGACATTTTCTCCCTACCACACGCTGCCTTGTATTGATGTAGTGTGTCCTCACCCACCTTCTTAATGGCTCCCGGAACTCTCATCTCATTGTATGTGTCCAATGGTGCCCCACCACTGACAACCAGAGTGCTATAGATAAGGCGAGAACCCAGCCTGGCACCAGGGCAAGGCTGAAAATCCAAGTCGGAATCCCCGGACAACACATGCTGTATGTGCATTCAAAAGCAGCAGCTTCCAAACAGTGAAACTGCAGAAGTCACTGGGCTGGAGTTTGTGTGTCTAGCAAGTCAGAAAGGTGAAGCGGGTGGGGAAACTTTGCTTGCAGCAAAGTCTGACGACAGCACCTTGACCTTTTGTTTGGGCTCTTCCATCTAACTAGCTAATATATTTGACCATGTGGATCCACAGGCATCTCGATTCTCTAATATATCAGCATTTGTTCTTATATATTAGGATTTCCAGGCATGGGCTGCTGTTTCATTTTCTGAAAAGTATAGCTGGGTTGAAAATGACTCTGGGAACTATGTGGTTGTAGCAGGTGAAGTGGAAGAAGTGATGTTTTTCTCCTAGCTCTGAGTGCCAGCTTTCTTCTCCTTGCAAGCGGTCAAGGTACTATTTCACAACACAGTTGAAAGGTCAAACTTGCCTGGGGGCCCCTTGGCTGGGCAGAGCGGTTCCACTGCATAGCTGACCTAACCCTTTGTGAGCCAGGAATTTGGTGGTTCAAACAGCTCCTTGGTCCTACCCCGCATGATAAGCGTTTGTTGTGGAATAGACTGCCCTTAGAAGGAAAAAAGGATGTGGGGTTCTTGCTAACAGGACATCTGTGTGCTTGATTCCAGCGGGACTGATCGGGGGTGGTTGTAGCCCAGAGTTGAGAATTCACCTATGCGTGGAGTGAAGGAAGTCTTTTCTTGTGTTCTGTATGTGGGTGCAGTGGCGGAGCTATGAACCGGTTCAAGGTGTATCCAAGAGCAGGAGAGGGCCATTTCCATAGAAAACAAGGGAAATGAGCAAAACCTGTAGGCCCTCTACTGAGAAATGTTATGTTTCATGTAATATGTTTGTCTGCTTCCCTGCACACTCCACCCCCCGGCCTCAGGCAGACAAGACAAGCAAACAGACAAACCCACATAAAACAAAATCATGAAGTTACCAAATTTTTAGTTTAGGGTGAATTTGTATATTTTGTCCTTACTTCCTGCAGGCACTATTCTTTATGTGTTTAACTCATTTACTCCTCACAGCAACACCCACAGTAGGTGCCGTTTATTGTTGGTTTACAGGAAGATGTGCAGAGAAGAATCCGCATCTTCTCTTGAGCCCCTCGAGCTGCTTTTTCCATGTAGAGGTGAATCCTAACTCTGCTTCTTGCCCCCCTCACTTTCAGTGTCCCTCGCAAGAGCATCCCCAAGATGGCAGAGGAGAGCAGTCCCAGGGACTGCATGTCCTTCAGCGTGCTCAAGTGGGACCAGGTCAGCCGGCTGCACGAGGTCCTGACTGAGGTCGTCCCCATCCACGGGCGAGGCAACTTTCCAACCTTGGAGATAACCCTCAAGGACATCGTCCAGACCGTCCGCGGCCAGCTGGAGGAGGCGGGCATCAAAGTGCAGGACATCCGGCTGAATGGTTCTGCCGCCGGTCACGTCTTGGTCAAAGACAACGGCTTGGGTTGCAAAGACCTGGACCTGATCTTTCACGTGGCTCTTCCCACCGAGGTAGAATTTCAGCTGGTCAGGGATGTGGTTCTGTGCTCCCTCCTGAACTTCCTGCCAGAGGGGGTGAGCAAGCTGAAAATCAGCCCCGTCACCCTGAAGGAGGCGTACGTGCAGAAGCTGGTGAAGGTCTGCACCGACACCGACCGCTGGAGCCTGATCTCCCTGTCCAACAAGAACGGGAGGAACGTGGAGCTCAAATTCGTCGACTCCATCCGGCGTCAGTTTGAGTTCAGCGTGGACTCTTTTCAGATCATCCTGGACTCGCTGCTCTTCTTCTATGACTGCTCCAGCAGCCCCATCTCGGAGCACCTCCACCCCACGGTGATGGGAGAGAGCGTGTACGGGGACTTCGAGGAAGCCTTCGACCACCTGCAGAACAGACTGATCGCCACCAAGAACCCCGAAGAGATTCGGGGCGGGGGGCTGCTCAAGTACAGCAACCTCCTGGTGCGGGACTTCAGGCCCGCAGACCAGGAAGAAATCAAAACCCTGGAGCGTTACATGTGCTCCAGGTTCTTCATTGACTTCCCGGACATCCTCGAGCAGCAGAGGAAGCTGGAGACGTACCTTCAGAACCACTTTGCAGAGGAAGAGAGGAGCAAATACGACTACCTCATGATCCTCCGCCGGGTGGTGAACGAGAGCACCGTGTGTCTCATGGGTCACGAGCGGAGACAGACCCTGAACCTCATCTCCCTTCTGGCCTTGCGCGTGCTGGCGGAACAAAACATCATTCCCAGTGCCACCAACGTCACCTGTTACTACCAGCCAGCGCCGTACGTCAGTGACGGCAACTTCAACAACTACTACGTGGCCCAGCCCCCGGTCACCTACAGCCAGCCGTACCCTACCTGGCTGCCCTGTAACTAACCTTGAGACCTGAGGGTTTCCTTCCGCAGCGGGGACCCCGGTAGGGCCAGGGCTCTCAGGTAGGGGAGCCTCCTTCTAGATGTAGGTGTGTGGCTTTTAAAGGGGAACTCAGCTCTGATTCTGCTTTTTTGTTTCTTTGGGGACCCATTGGAACGGGTCTACAGTGTATCATGAGCCAACCCTAGAGGGACCCATTATTCCATTATTGCCCCTTTGGAAAATGCTATAGGAAGTGTGACCTATCCACATGGTTCCAGGATGGACACTAACATGTCCGGCCCCAAACATCAGCCCTGGGGTTTGAGCTCTGTGCCGGGGCTGTGGCCGGGAAGTGCGTGGGCAGCACATGAGCGGTGGTGCCCCTCTCTTCTCCCCTTGGGCCTGGAGGAGGCGCCGTTGGCCCCCACTTGGGATTCTCCGCAGTGACGCAGAAGTTGTGCGCATAGTCTGTTTGCTCGGATCTGTTTCGGTCAGGCAGAAAGTGGTCAACATGAGGGTGCTCCTGCGACTTAGCTGTTGTTCAAAGGACTTACATTGCTTATGTGTGTTTATTCCCTGTCAGCAAAGCTGAGGATTTGTTTCATCAATAAACCAAAGCCAGTAGCTGGAGAATTGAGGTCTGGTCACAAGTGGTTTATGGTGTAGATGCTGTGCTGTCATGAGGAATTGTGTGAGATATTGCTGAGAAAAACAAAACAAAACAAAAAAACACACGAAAAAACAAAGACCTTTTCTTGAAATGTAACTTGAAAAAAAATAATAAAATGTGGAACATAATGTTAAAATAGAACTGTGGTGGTGGTGGGGATGGGGGTGGGGGTGATTGTAAATAGGAAGCATGAATGTTCAAATTTTTTTTTTCTTGAATTCTTATCAAATGACACTTTTTTTTTTCTCTTCAACTCATCACTTTCATTTTGCTCTTCCTAAGACTAAGGACTGTACTGAGTCTAGAGCCATTGCAGTAACTGACATGTGAGGGTCTTCCCATATTTTAATTAGAAACCATTTTGGTCACATTCCGAGTATGACAAGCTGTTTTCCTGAAGTACTTTGGCTGATTTTTGTGTGTGTGTGTGTGTGTGTGTTTGTTTTTTTTCAAAAGCAGCAATTTCCTCCTCCAGGTTTTTTTTTTGTTTTTTTTTTTTGACAGCCGATGAATTCAGGAATTTCAGTCAAACTGAGTGACCTGTGGAATGACCTGCGCTTAACATGGCTTTAGAATGGAACCTGCTGTCCCTATGCTGTGTGTGCAGTAGAGGGTTATGTCCAGTTGGGCCTTGTGTGTACGTCAGCGGTGCGGAGGCTCCTTGCAGTGATGAATTCCGATGTAGTTAGGGAAGAATTGAGTGAATGGAGAGTAATCTTCCTTATTCTGGTAGATTTAACCATACTTGTTTATATTCTGCACTTTAGAGGAAAAACAGTGTTAATCTCTAGTCTGAAGCAAATTTAGTCAACAGGAGAATCCTACGATACTGTTGCTGTCCCACTAGATTAAATACGGGATTTTGTGTTTTGTGGGGTTTCTTAGAAAGTATCACTTTAGGATATCAAGGGCAGAAAAACACAATAATGCCAACTAGCTTGGTTTCTTAAGTGATTTAATCAAACCCATGCTCCTGATTTTAAATTTCTCCTGTGGCCATAAAACCCCCAAGCCCTGAGTGATTGCTTTCTCCTTGCTTTAAGCAATGAAGTTACCTTAATGCAGAAATGCTTCATAGAAAATGAGTGATTTACCTTTTTCTAAAGATGATATTTCAGGTTTTATCTACAATGTGATATCTTGGTCCTCTTAAAAGCAGATGGGGCCTTGCTGACTCCCAAGGCTTAGCTGGTCTCCAGGCTGTGCTATCATAAGTCAACAGGAGCCACTTAGTGTAACCAGCGCCTGCCCTCCTGTGAGCCGGTGACATTTGAATTCATTGGCTTTTGAGTCAAAGCCAGCGCCACATGAGTGTGTGTGTGTGTGTGTGTGTGTGTGTGTGTGTATGTGTGTGTGTGTGTGTTGGGGGGGGTGCTTCAGTGTTAGAGGGGGGCAATGAAGAGTGAATTCCAACTTTAAAAATGATATGGTGGTCATCTGTGACCTTAAAAGACTGCCATTGTGGTCTGATGGCAACATGTTTGCACAAAAATGACAGATCAGTTTAACCAAAGCTTTGAAATGCGATGAAGCTGCCAACGAAAGCACTTGCTCACAGAATTCAAGTCAGTATTGCACCTACAAGAGGTCTTAGGGATCAGGGTAATAAGGCTCCAGATGAAGATAGGATCAGAACCGCATCAAGTCATTAAATTTCCAGTTTGACCTTGGAGTTCTTTCTGCTTATTATTTCCCCCAGCTGGTATTAGTCCTCCTTCGAGAATGGAGGCACAGAAGTTGCTAGAAATTCCCGTCCCCCACCGCAGTTTTTTACCCTGTTTCATGGTGACCAGCTTGCTATAATCCCTCAGCCTGAAGTTCTCGGTCAGCCCAGCTATTACGGCATTTGAGAGTTGACCTGTGTTCTAATACCATCAGGGTAAAAAGCTACACTGACCGAAGCTGCGCTTTTGAACCCCCACCCCAGTCTCGCGGTGTCTCTACTCCACCAGCCTTTTTGCCTGCCTGCCTCAGAATAGACCAGGTAACCTTGAATTTCAGGTGTCTGGAAATTCTAGCTGAAAGCTGCCTTTCATGCTGCTCACACAAGCACCAGGTACCCTGAACTTGCACTGAGTCCAGTGGTTCCTCTTTTCTGTGTGTTGAGTAACATGAAACTTGGCAGTGGCTAAGGGCACTGAAGTTCAAGTGCAAGCTCTCATGTACATTTTAAGCAGCCTCGTTTGCTCCAGGATTCTGAACAGTTTTCTGATGCTTTCTGCAAGTAGGCAGCTTGTTAGCCCAGACTGCTTCTCAGAATAAGGCCGAGCAGCAGTGAGATGAAAGCAATACCCTTTCCCCTGGTTTTGGCAGAAGGGCACACACTGAATTCCTGGCCCCGAGATCCAGTCTCACCCTTCAATCTTACCTTGGCAGTAAGACACTATTCCTCACTCAGTAACTAAACTCTGTCTCACCAACACCTTCCATCAGGGTTCCTGCTGACTGCATGTGGGCTGTGGCATGGGCCACACCCGGAGTGAGTGGAGTAAGACAGATGAGGGTTCCTGATACATGGTAAAAAATGTGGTTTGGCATTCAAGTGTTATTTTCCCCCAGTTTGATTTTTCCCTGGGGATTTGAGTTATAGCGAGCTGTGTGTGAACCTGTGAGGTTTTTTTTTTGTTCGTTTGTTAGTTTGTTTTTGTTTTTTGTTTTTTTGTGATGATGCATTAATAAACAAATTACTAAAGCCCCAAATCTGATTGTCCTTCAGCCTCTCCACTAGGTTAGCCCTAACCCCTTAATTTCATGGTAGGTTAGGATTTTTGCTAGTACTGCTTTCTTCACTTGGCATAAGCAATGTGCTAACTTTCAGAATGCCTCCTTTCTAGTTAACTTTCTGGTACTGGTGCCTTGTTTTAGGATGCAGCTAGATTCTGAGCTCAAATGTCCTCTTCCACAGAACAAATGGTAGTTATCCAGTTGTGAGAGGAGTCCTGGGAGCTTACCAGGGCCATGACTTCCAGGGTGTCTGACTGGGGCTCCACATTAGGGAGAATCCCTTTGGGAGGATTCTGGTAACGTGAAAGAACTTTCAGTTGCCAAGGTTAAATTCGCATCCTTAATCTGGCAGAGACCAGAATGTCCCAGCTGACTTTGGAACATATTCCAATTCAGGCCCATTATATTCCAAGGACCAAGGGAGGTGTATGTGTGTGGGGGTGGGTGGGGGAGGGTGGAGGAGCATATTTAAAAAGACCTAGCAACTTTTCAGGATTATTTGCAGAGATGTCCAAGGTGAGGATCAGGAAAGAAAATGCTTTTTTTGTGGGTGAGTTCAGTTCTAAATCTTGTTTTCCTACCACTGAAAAAAAGATAAGTTAAAGGTCAACAAAAACAAAAATGCTTGGAGTTTTGCCTGGGCTAGCCAGAGTTGGTGCAAATTGGTGTGTGTGTTTGTATAGGAAGGTGAGAAGACCATCCACTGAAGAGGAAGTCATTAAATAATACGGATTTTTTGTTTAATAGATTAAAAATTAGTGGCCTTAGGAAAATTAAAAGAGTTTTTATCCATTAATTTCCAAATTAATACAGGGGAAAAGTTAAGATACTTACTAGACTAAATTGGAAGTTTTTTGTTGCTCTAGATTTGCACAGGCTTTCACATAGTAATTTATTAGTGATGCCTAACGTGGGCGGTTTCCTCTTTGGTTGTAACGGTCACTGACCTTCTTATGTGATGCCGGAGAAATCACTTGTCAATGCAAGATGTATGAGAGCTTGATGAAATGAAGCTTTGAGTTTGAGAAATAAAAATATATTAAAACAAAAACAAACCCTTGTCAGTTATGCTTACTTTTTTGTGTATCCTCAGGGGTGAACTGAATTTTAGGTTCCAGGAAAGGTGTTGCATGGTGGTGGGTGGTTATCAAAAGTAACCTTAGATACTTCTCTGGGGAAGAAATATGTGGTTACCTCGGCGACCATAATTCCCTTAATGTTTGGACTCTTCTCCAAGGTGCCTGACTAATTGAAACCAAGCTTTGTTACTGACCAAGACTCTCGGCTGATGCCCACATTAGGTGGTGGTGTCTTGACATCAGCTTTCACTGGCACCTTGTTTGGTTCCACGCTGAAAGCTAGGTTCGCTTGAGCTTGGCCCCAAACCCATTTCAATAAGAGAGCCAGAATAACTTTAATGATACTACTATATATACACTTCTACCATGCTTTCCTCACATTTTCAAAGAAGTCTAGAAGTGAACAAGTGATATTTGCATGGTTGATAGATGTTTGGAGGGGATAAGGAGATACTGTAGACCTTGCATGGCGACCAACTTGCTTCTTGATTCCTCTGATCCTATTCACAACCCCTCTGCACCCCCAACCCTGCCCCTTCCGTGGCCGCTCTTCTATGCTGAATTTCTTGAACTCCTATGGTATTTTCTGTAACTGTCATCAAACAACTTATGTCTTTGTGTAAACGTCCTTTACCCCCTTCTCTTCAGCCTGCCTGTTGCTTCTCCTTAAACGTTTCAGTCCGAGGATGAGCGTTCTCTGGAGTCTGCTAGCTGTGGAGTCCCTCTAGCCCGTTTCTTTGGCATGTCTTATCCTTCTCTGAAGCCAGCCAGCCCACATCAATATGGCGGCGTCACTCCTCCCTTCATGCCGGCATTGTCAACGTCCATGTCAGCGGCATCTTCAGCCTTCAGTTGACCACCTCCATCCTAGTCATCTCGCGTTGGCTAGACTTTGGATCTAGAACTGCTCATGAGGTTGGAGTGACTGTCTCCTCCCTCCATGATCCCAAGAACTGGATTCAATCGAAGAGCAGTTTTACAGTCTCAGTATGTTTGCCTGGGAGCCACCTCCAGGTTCCTTTTCCTCCACATTAGCTCTGCGTGCCCTTCCTGGAGTGCTCCCTGACTGCCATTTTGGTGTTGCCTCAGCACTTGCCTGGGCTATTTCACGCATCTTACCACTTGCCTCCCCTCCATTTTCCTTGATGCACCCAAGGGCTGTTTCTGAAACAGATGTGTCTGTGCCCTGCCATGCATTAAAACCTGCTGAAGACCCTACTGTGCAAGGGTAGATGTCAGACTTAGAAAGGTGAGTCCTTCCCAGTCTGCCTTTTCAGCCCCTCACCTGCTCTACAAAGTAGGCCTCCTTCCAGTTCCAGGGCACACAGCTCCTCCTACGCGCCCCCACCATGCTGCAAGCCTCTAAAACCTCAGCTGAGACCTTCCCTCCCTGCTGTTTCTATTAGTGCACTTCCTGGGCTGTGCCAGTGCTTCCCTGTATGGTTCTTTTCCCCCTGCCCGTCTCCCACACAACTGGCACAGATGTGGTGCTTCGAATGTTGAACTCGGCTTTTGTCCCTGGAGGACTTGGACTTGGGCCACTAGCAGCTAGGAGGTTAAATCCTGGATATTAACCTGGACGTGTTGTAATGCCTCATTCTCGTGCCAGAAAACATTTTAGTCCAGGCATTGTCCAGACCAATATTTACCTGCAGATCAATGTGTGTGGGAAGTGGCGGGGCACAGTTCCCCGGAATGGGGAGTCACGTCCTGGACACCAACGCTATTGATCACGAGCTCCTAACCTCCTGGACAAGGTCAGCCCTTAGGGCTGCAGTCTTCACCCTCCGCTGCATTCGTCCTCACTTCCCACCCCCCTAGTACCCCTGACAGACTTAACTCTTCTGATGTTTTACTAGAACTAGTCCCATGTTACCTCTGAGTATTAATCCCTCAGCATTTTGGAAGTATACTTTCAATGAGTGGGAAGTAGTTTTTCTCCTTCGCAAGTAGTGACGGGGGTGGGACCATGACATACTTGGTTATCATTTGGGATTAATACCTGCTGGAAGGTGGGAGAGGATTAGCAGGACTTTAGAGGGTTTACCAACCAACCTCTGGGATGAGCAGTCAGGGAGCAACCAGTCAAGGGTGCAGCCCAGTCTGGGACATGCTGAGTGTGTGACCCACCTCCCACCCCTGCCCAAAGGCTGAGGGGGAACTGATGAGGCCAGGTGGCTTTCTACCCCACGTGACAACAGCCGAGCTGGGCCCACAGTGCTGGCTTCTTGCCTCCTGGCGCCATGTTTTCCCCTGTACCACAGGGCCGTGTCCTTGTCCCTGGGGTAAATGCTATGTAGAAGAATGTGCTGGCCTGGCAGATGAACCTTCTGTCTTTCAGCTGCCTGATGGGCATCCCTCTCTCGAGCAGGTTTCTATGAGTGCTGGCAAAAAGCCAGGGAACCTGGCCCATGTTGGGAGGCTCAGTTTCACACCTAGGGAGGTAGTTCCTCACCTAGCTCCCAGCAGCCTGGCTTGCCTGTTCTGGCCAGGACTGCATCACAGGTGTACCAATTCCAGGGCTTTTCATCAAAGCAAGTCACCACTCAGGCTGGCTTTTACTGTGGGAAGTGTCTTAAAAATGGCCCTAGGGGAAGGCCTAAGAAGCAAGTCACCTGCTTTCTTTTAGATGCTCCCCTGGGAAGGAGGGGTAAAAAGCTGTAGTGCGTGCGTGTGCGTGTGTGCGTGTGCGTGCGTGCATGTGCGTGCGCGTGTGCGTGCGTGCGTGATTGCGTGTGTGTGCGCGCGTGTGTGCATGTGTGTGTGTGCGTGTGCATGTGTGCGTGTGTGCGTGCGTGCGTGCGTGTGCGTGCGTGCGTGTGTGTGTGCGCGCGCGTGCGTGCGTGTGTGCGTGTGTGTGTGCGTGTGTGTATGTGTGTGTGTGTGTGTGTGCGCGTGTGTGTGTGTGTGTGTGTTGGGGAGGAGTGATGGAGCAGCAGGGGGCAGGCCACACAACTGTGACTTTTGCCAGACTCTCCTAAACAAGTTTAATTCCTTCAACATGGGTAGTGTACGAGCCTTCGTTCAAGGGATCTGTTGGAAGCTAAGGCCGTGAGAAAATGGAATGCCCATTGCTCACATTTGACTAAGGCTTTAGGGTTTAGCAAGTACACGTTACACGTGTGCGGTTTGTGGACCTCCGAACCTGTAAGGTGGGTAGCAGTGTGCCCACTTCACAGGCAAGGGGCCAGAGGCTCCAAGCACCCGAGAGTTGTCCAAGGTCACATATCCATGAGAGGCAGAGCCTGTGCCCACGACCTGACTCCACAGCCGCATGTTCCCCACTATTATAACCCTGAAGGCGCTCAGCACACCATACGTCCCTGTGCAGATCCTAACGGTCATGCTAGTGCGTTCCCTCTCAGGGGCCGGATAGGAGTTGCCTGGTACTGGCTCTGCCTCCCCTTATCCAGGAAAGCAGTTCCTTGGACAGGCCAGCGGCTTTTCTCAGACAGCCCTCCCTCTGTGATTCGGGTCTGGGCGGGGGGTGTGTGGGGGGTACCTGTTGAAGGCTTGTTCACATGTTTGGGGAATTTCACTGAGTTCCATGTCCTGTGCTAAGCGTTAGCATGTAACCTCCCAACACCTCGGAGACAGGACAGTTAAGTGTACAGAGGAAACCCAAACATCACACAGCTTGACAGAGCCAGGACTGGGCTGTGGGGTGTCTTAGCCCTGCGGGGACACGCCTGCCACATGTGTTTCACAGGGGAGCACATGGAAGAGGTACAGGAGAACAAATACCCCGCTTTCCAACAGGAGCCTTTGAGGAGGAATGTGCACGCCTCCTGATCTGTGGTTAGTCAACGGAGTATTAAACGGAGGCCGAAGGGACTGATTCAACTGATGAGTTAAAACCAAAGATTAAGCTGACTGACTAAGCTCACATCGGGCGTCTGTCATGGACTGAGGTTGCCATAAAATTTTACATTAGAATTGAAATGGGAACAGCATCCCTTTTATCCTGAAACAAGATGTTATGTAACGGAGGGGTATTTACCTGCAAGCTGGAGAGAAGGGTAAGGGAGTAGAGGGGGTGGGAGGGGACTCGCAGAAATCAGGAGGCCAGCTCATCCCCGGGTGTGGAGCAATGAAACTGAGAAGGGAGAGGACTCAAAACCGATAACAAAACCCGAAGCAGTTCCTAGAGTCAAACACCTGTAGATTTTCATGTGCTAAGTATAGTGGAAGTTGGGTCATCTTATCCTTAAATAAACACTCGAGCTAGGCAAAGGCTTTTTGTGAAAAAGAATCTTTACATTGGCTCGTGGAAGCTGGCGGCTGAGAGGAGCAGCATTGGGGGAGCTAGAAACGCCTCCCGGCAGCCTCGGGCTCCGCTGCCCCCTCCTGCTAGTTCAGTACCCCACGCAAAACGCCCCTTCTCTTAGGTCGACTCCATGTACCTCATTGTCCCTGTGCCTTTTGTCCCACCCCCCAAAGTAAGGGATCAGTTTCTTTGACCTTCACATGATCAGCATGAGACGGGAGAAGAGCCCCCCCAGCCCCCGCCCCCGCCTCTGTCCGGCCCTGGCAGCAGAGGCAGCCTTTCAGCGGGCTTATTTTCCACCCCGATTTAGATACTACTAAACGGAAAATGATTCTTTCTCTGCCTTTTGAATGTTGGCTGCTGCTGAATTGGGCGCAGCCCCTGTTTCAGAAAATGTCAAATTGGAGGCTTGATGCCACAGCTCTGGGCTCCGAGGCCCTGTGGGTTATGCTTCCAGTCTCTTGCCTGAGCACCAGTTTTGCAGCCAGCAAGACGCAAGGGATCGGAGGGGAGGGGGGTGGGGGGCGCGCCAGAGGAACAGAGAGCCTGAGACAGTGAGGAGAGCAGCTTTGGGGCCAGAGGTCTCAACACAGCAGGCTCCTTGCCCAGCCCCCCA